GGAGGCGGGGGCTGGCCTCGCCTGTGCCGGTGGCCAGACGGATCCCGGGGAGGAAAAGGTCGGGAGCGTGGTTCACAAAGGATGATTTTTCCCTTCTGCGTCAGTTCCCCTCTTGACAAACATCTTCAGGGTCCTCCACGGCCGCTCTCGGTGGAGCTCTGCTCCCCCACCCTTTGTCATCCCTCCGAGAGCCATCCCCGCTCGCAGCCGTCCATTTTCAAGCGATCTATTTGCGGCACAAAAGCCAGCTCCAGAGGTTCAAAACAGGATATTAAAGATATTAATCAATACTGCGACCAATAATGTGGCTTGATGGGGTCTAAAGTCTGTGCTGAATACAAGTGAGCGGAGGACAAGGGCTGAAGACAGAAGGGCAAAATAGAGTGAAAAGAAGAAAGAGAAAGGGGGTGGGAAAGGAAAGAAAAGGAGAAAACATCCCCCGGAAATAAATGCGTGAGTGCTCCTTTCTCCTAATGTTTCATCATTTCCAGTCACTGCGGGAGGCGGAAGGGACACGTGGTGCTCTGCGGAGGGTGCTGGGGTGCCTCAGCTGAGAGCCGCTGCCAGCCAGAAAATGCAAACGGAGCCTGGATCCGCTGGGTTGAATGGGACAGATTGCTGAAGTGCTGTTAAAATACACAGTAGTTTATTATTTAAACTGGTGAGGTGGGTGTTGGTCTCTTCTCCCATGTAGTTAGCGCTAGGACAAGAGGAAATGGGCTCAAGCTGTGCCAGGGGAGGTTTAGGTTGGAAATTAGGAAAAATTTCTTTATGGAAAGGGTGGTCAAGCACTGGAACAGGCTGCCCAGAGAGGTGGGGGAGTCCCCATCCCTGGAAGCGTTCAAAAAACGGGCAGAGGTGGCACTTGGGGACACGGTTCAGTCTGGTCTACCCTTGACTGGTTTAGTGTGGACATGGTAGTGTAGGTTAATGGTTGGACTGGGTGATCTTAAAGGGCTTTGCCAACCTAAACGATTCTATGATTCTATAAACTATCGCATGTAGTTAAACTCAGTTCTTTTGTTAGCTAACCATCAGAAGTGCAACTGTCAGGCTTAAGTTAAACTTGAGTTAAGCGACCAGGTTTTCTAATCATCACGCCTGTTTTAAGATGTAGCATAAGGTTTTAACAGCCGGTCTCCTGAAAAGCTGGCGGAAAGGGGGTGGTTGGTACAGGAAGGAAGGAGTGCTGTCCGGGCAGGTGGGCTCGTGCCTGCAAGGCTTTCACGTGGCGCCCAGCCTCCGGCTTTCCCCTTCCATCCACACCGGCTTTGACTTCCCAGCTGGTGCAGCACTTTTCTGCTCTGGCCGAGGGGGTCCTGTACGTGCCCGGGGGCACAGAAAGGCGGGTGTACCCGTGCAGGGCTGCAGATCCAGCGTGGCAAAGACGAGACAGAGCTATTGCGAGCGTGCTGCAGCGGTGATCCAAGCACGTGCTGTGACTCTGCCGTGTCCCAGGAAGATCAGGTCAGTTGTGCTTGGCCAGACAATGGTTCACGCAACCCACGTGCAAGAGAAGTAACACATCCCGGGCCGGATTGCTGGGTGGGCACATTCGGGGAAACCTAAATAGCATGCCCTTTCCCCAGGTGCATGGGAATCGCCTGTGAGACTGGAGAAAAGGAGTCAGGTGGGTGTCGGCCGCTGCCCTCTTTCTTCCTGCACTGGGTTTTGGGGAAGAGGAGACCAGCACTGCCGCGTCTCTGTGCCCATGCACACGGGGAAGGGGCAGATGCAGCCAGGTCAGTGCTTCTTCCACAGCCCCTTTTGCAAGAATGGGCCATCAGGGACGACTTTTGCCATGTTAAGGGGACGCGAGGGACTCATGCAATTAAAATCAACTGCAGCTTTGAAGAGGAAACTCCAGTTTGTCTTTCTAAGAATTTCTTTTATCAGACAACACAACAATGTAAGGGAAAAGGAGATAACGACACACAGTAGCTAGGCTTATCCTTGGTGAGACAGATACAGAGAACACCATGTGAAGACTTTCTGGGAAACAGAGGTTTGGCTGAGCTTTGTTTTGTTGAGGTGAGCAATATTTGGCCCTCCTCTGACCGTGCTACAAATCTGCGGAGGTGGTTGTGGGTGGTGTGGAAGCCCCACTGTGGTTTACCAAATTAGCAGCATCCGTTTGCACAGCAATGGCCACATGCTATATATGTACTTCTTTGCTTTTCAAGGGAAGCCACTGTCCGGAGTTTGTGCCTTCCCGATTTTCCTGAGCCCGCAGAGCTGGTCTGGAAGTATCTGGACCTGTCTACCTTTCTCCTTCTTTACCTCCTGCCTCTGCTAATCATCACTGTCACCTACACGCGCCTGGCCAAGAAGCTGTGGCTCCGCAACGCCATTGGAGACGTCACCACGCAGCAGTATATCACTCACCACAAGAACAAGAAGAAGAGCATCAAGATGCTGATGCTGGTGGTGGTGGTCTTTGCTGTCTGCTGGTTCCCTCTCAACTGCTACGTGGTGCTCATCTCCAGTCTAGGTATCAAGGCAAAGAACTCCCTCTATTTCGCCCTGCACTGGTTCGCCATGAGCAGCACCTGCTACAACCCTTTCATCTACTGCTGGTTGAACGAGAGCTTCCGCTCGGAGCTCAAGTCCCTGCTCTGCATGTGCCAGAAGGTGCCTGAGACGCAGGACAACGCGCTGCCGCCTGTGGTCACGTCCTGCCGCGAGGCGTGGATGGAGCAGGCCAGGTGCAGGAAGGGACCTGCCTCGCAGACCATTTGCTCCACCGCAAACATCCAGACGGCCGACACAGACCTGTGAGCCAAAGGGCCGAGGTGAGTTAGCTGGATTCAGTGGACATCAAAGGGCATCTCCCCATTTCTCCTCAGGAACTGATGTTGCTGCTCTGGTGTTTTACTGCTGACTTTTGACTTGTACCACAGCAGCACCCCCTTTGCTCGGTGCAGTGGAGCACGGCCCCTCAAGCACCCTCCCTGGGAGCCCACAGCTCCAGCTGCTCCAAGGAGCCGGTATATGTGCAGGGGCCATGGAGGTCCACAGACAGGGTGATGTGCTTTTGGGGTTTCCCATCTTAGTACTAGCAGAGGGAGTAGGACCCGGGTTTCCATCATTGCTTCTGCTGTCCCAAGTCGCTGGCCTGTCTCAGCGCTCGTAACATGTGCCACGGCACCAACGGGGCTTTGCAGGGCAATGCAAATGGACCCATCCTGATACGTATTTGAAGGAAGGACTTGGACATCCAGGTTGACTCCATGCATACGGAGTTTCACCAGGTAACTTATACCAAAGCCTCCCAGCAGAGGTAAGGGTCGTCAACAGCAATTTCCCCTTCAGACAGTGCTGCTCCTCCTCCCCTCGCTCCTCCTGCCCCGGCTCCATCCCACCCCTCCCTCTGCCGCTTCTGCAGCTGCAGAGCCAGCAGCGGAACCCCAGCCACAGCCGAGAGGCGACCCAGCCGAGAGGCGAGCGGCAACGCACGCCGGGCATCGGCGGCAGCAGCCTCAGGCAGCACTCAGGCGGACAAATTTAGTCCATTGGGAATTTCTTTGTGTTTTTATTATAAATATATTAATTCAGGAAATAAACCTACACTGGCACTAAACAAAAGGCCACAAAATATTTCATCAGGCCTGTAGCATTCGCTAGCTGAAGAATGAAAGAATTCTGCATAATTGCTAATTGCTGTAAAAGAGTTTCATTTAACCAACAGAATTGACTCTGACTAAGAGGGAAGGTTTTGTTTACAGTCCTGGGAAGAATACAATTTAATTTAGCTACGCTTGGGATGCAGGTGAAAAAAGGGATATAGAACAAAGGAAAGATTTAGTACCGGGGCGGGAAGGCAGGGAAAAGAGACATTAAAGGCAGAAAGAAACTAGAATTGCTACATGATTTCGCAGGCAGTGTGGAGCAGTGGCTGGACACTGGCAGCAGGAACTGGAAGGACCTCCTGGCCTGGCAGCGATGTCCCTTTCCCCATCGTACCGTCCCTCTTAAAAATTGCACCCAGACCAGAGAGGCTCAACTTCTCCTCTCAGCTTCCCTGGCTGAGCTTGAGAAAGGGACTTCTCTTACTTGGAGAAGGCAGACAGAAGATGGGAAAATATTTATTACTTACTTATCCATCCAGACTTTGGGTTGAGTAGTCATAAGTCTATAATACATAAAGCTATGTGTGTTTTGAGCCCGGACAGTTCCTGGGCAATCCTTCGAAACTCAGTGCTGGCGACCAGTACGTGCTGCAATGGTGACAGGGGGGCTCTGGTACGGACCAGCCGGGGCTGTTACTCTCTGGTCCTCAGACCTGAAATTCATAGGGAAACACTACTTGCAGCAAAAACCCCCAAACAAACTGCTTTGGATAAAAAGTATTCAGTGTTGGTGTGGCCTCACCTCGAGTACTGGGTGCAGTTCTGGACCCCACAATTTAAGAAGGGTGTGAAGGTCCTTGAATGCATCCAGAGGAGGGCAAAAAAGCTGGTGACAGGGCTGGAAGGAATGTCCTGAGGAGTAGCTGAGGACTTTGGGTTTGTCTAGTTGGTGAAAACCAGGTGATGGTTTTCAGTAGTTTAAAGGCAGTCACGGCTGCTCAGGGTCAGGGGTGCTCCTGGTCTACCCTGGCGATAGCTGGACTGGGCTTCTGCCCGGGGAGGAGCCGGGGGCATCCCGGGTCGCTGGCAGGGATGAGGACGTGGTCCCACCAGCTTCCTGGGGGAGGATAAGACAGACCAAAGAAGGAAACTAAGGATTGGTTTGGGTTTTGTTTTGTTGGTTTTTTTTTTTTTCCCATTTTTGCAGTGAGAAGGAACAGGAGAGAAAAGAGGGGAGGTCCTCACTTCCAGGCCACTTGACCCCACTCGGCCACGTCCCTGCACCTCAGGTGTACATTGCGATATCTGCACGAGAAGAAGAGAGCAGAGCATCATGAGCGGCAGCAGAAATGGATGAATAGACGATCCCTGAGGCACTGCACTTGGAAACTAACAATTCTTTGAATATGGGAATTTAAGGCAGCCTGCTGCTGGGTGCAGGCACTGCCCTCTTTCTGCGTGGAGCAGGGTCTGTTTTTAGTTGAAAAACATCATTGTGAGTTTTTCAAAATGTTAAAAATATCTCTAATTAATAAGCATCACCTCATTTAATTATTAAGAAAAGCTGTCATTTGCCTTTTTACTGTTCCTCATTCCTCACCAACTTTTAGTGACCAGCCCTCAAACTACCATGTATACTTTATTAAAATATTATTTCTTCCCTCTGGAAAGGTGAGTGACAGTATGGCATTTTTGGTTTCAACTACAGAATGTAGCAGCCTGTTTCCACTCAAATATCTTTGGAACTTTAAGAGACTTTTTCCCCAAGATTGCAAAAACCAGCATCCTTCATCCTTTGGTTGCTGTAGCACAAGTTTTTAGCATGAGCTGAGGCTGTAAATGAGATGCAGTTATAAGGTACAGTGGACGGGCTTCTCCCAGCAACAGGAAAGTTTCCTTTGAGAGTGGAAACGTGAGCGATGGCAGCCTTGGGGCAAAATGGGAGACGGCCACAAGAAGCCTGGGAGTCATATGGGCACAGGAAGGAAAAAAGACCTGGGAGGTCCTACTTTAAAAGGACTAACTGGAAAAAGCCTCCCCCCTCCTCAGAGTTGAGAACAGGGATGAAAAATCAGCAGAAAAGAGAGTTCAACAACGGTTGGGTAAAGCATGGAGTCACCCAGGACCTGGCCTGGAGGCAGGAGGGGGCAACCCCATGGCACCGAAACCCCCAGCTGGTGCTTGCTCTGGATCTGGAGGACTTGAGCTGGGCCATTGAACTTCCCTGACATGCTCTCGCAGGGCCCCTTCAGAAAACAGGGTTTAAACGCACTATTTGCCAGCAGGTAACAGGTTTCATGCCAAGTCATAAGTAAAGAGAAAGCGTACCCACCTCTGTAGTGCCGTAGCAGTAGTGCTCAGTGACCTGTGATAGCAGCATCCATCAGCAATAAGGACGATGCAGAGCTTGGTTAGCTGTGATTCATGTGCTTATTTGCTGTTCACAGTTATTCAACTGATTCAGACAGATACTGATGAAAAACACCACTGGTGTCACCCGAAAACCATACAGAGTTTCACAAAAACACTCACTTAAAATTTTCATCCTTGACGAGCCTATTCTTTATTTGCGCTGTTTTATTGCCCTGGTCAAAACTTTCCAGGGCTCTTTGAATAACACCCACAAAGCAAACATTTCACAAATGGAAAGATGGAAAAATCGCATCCCGCCCCGCCAAAGCTCTCTGAAAGAGCTCGGGGAGCTGTGCGTGACCCGACACCCAAGTGGCAGTGCTGGCCTGGCTGCTGAAAGAGCTCGGGGAGCTGTGCGTGACCCGACACCCAAGCGGCAGTGCTGGCCTGGCCGCACAGCCCCGTGCACAGCCCGTTGGTCTCAGTGTGCCTTTCCATAGGCTGCTGTAGGATGCACGCTGCACACAAAACACACAGTTTCTAGAGATATTTCTATGTTTTCTTTCAATGTACATATTATATCTTGGGCTTCTATGAAATAACCATAGCAACGACACTAACGCTGGTATCTTCCGTGAGAAATATTAAGCTATGGCTCTCACTGTGATTCTGAAATGAAATCTACCTCGCTGTTGGCAAATTCTGGGGTACAAGCCAAGCTGGGGATTAAATCCCATTCCCAGAGCTGTTTTGCAGTGCAAGATGGGTAGACAGAAAATTTCAGTAGTTTCTTGAGATGTTTGTCCAAGAATGCTGGTACAGACCAGCTGCTGTTTTCCTCAGAAGCAGCCAAATTTCTGGGAAGCAGCAAGCAAACCCTGGAGTCGTACCTGCCCGTCATCCCTGCGATAAGAGCTGTTCTGGGAGCCCCTGTCACGTCTAGTGGCTATGGATGAAGCAGAAGTCTCTTCACCTTGCGTTGAGCCCATCTTTAATATTGCTTAGGTTGTTTTCCCCCCCTTCCTTTCTTTCTTTAAATGGCTTCATAATTGTTTTCTGGAGGAATCAAAGACCTCATTCCAAAGACATGGGTCTCCCTTCATACTCCCTTGATCTGCTAATCCATGTAGTTAGCTATCACTTGCTGTGAAAAATAACCTAGCTGGTTTTCCTTGGATCTTTCAATCGTAGCATCTCTTCATTGCTGAATTTTTCTCCCCTAAATGGGCATGATGTAAAAGCTGACTGTATTGCCTCTTCGTAATGGCTTAGCTATCTAAACTGGTAATTATCAATGCCTGAATGAGGCTCAAAGCCGCGCACGCTTTGCCCATCGCCTGGAGGCTCTTGCACCTCTTGAGGATGCCCTGGCTAACACAGCAGCACTCTCTCAGCTGCATTCAGGCAAATCATAGGATGCACAACATAAAAAAAAAAAAAAGATAAACTGGGCTATGTTGTTTGACTTGGGCAAGGCACAGTGACTGAGGGGCAAGAGATTGCATCTCTGCTTTTTTTTTTCTGCGGCAGTCAGAGGGCTTACCTAGCCACGGTCTGGAAAAGAGAATCTAAGAAATTCTGCTTTTGCTGAAACAGGTCAAGGTCTGAGCCAACTCATCAGGTAAATAGATGCTTAAACATTCATTAATTTGTCTTCAGACGACACTCACCTGCGGGAACGGCTTCCTGAGTGGTGCCGGAGGCAGCCCGGTGTCCAAGATCAATAGGACCAAGGGAGAGCTTCCAAAAACGGGACCACCGCTTCCTGCTGGCTGTTTTCTTCCCCGTTCCCAGCAGGGCTGTGCTAGCGGGCTGCTGCGGGCTTCGTGCACAGAGACCTGCCCCGCCGGGGCAGCCCGAGGTGACGTGCGGGCAGCAGCCGCAGCGCGGTTTCCTCCCTGCAGCCCAACGCTGCGACAGCCCCGAGGCCGGAGGAGCGGGCGGGAGCGTGGGGTGGGAGAAGAGTCCCCGGGGAAGCCCGTGCCATCCGGAGAGCCCTCGTCCTCTCTCTTCAGGCTGGTGACTCGAAGCTGTCCCTGGCAGGCAAAGCCCCAGGAGGCAAGACCCCGAGGGTGAATTTGGAGGGCAGATGATTAAAACACTGAGTTACCACAAGTCTGCTCCAGAGAAACTATTTGAGCTCACACAAATCAGTATGCAAAGATTCAAGAGACATGTCTGAGTGATTAACAACCCAGATTTATTAACGTTAGCTCATGCCAAATGCATCTAACTGCCTTCAGCATAGTTGCTGATGAAGGCGATAACAGAGAACACAGTGCAGGGGATACCTGAATTCCAGAGACAAATCCCCTTATATAGCCCCATCACATAATGAACAAAGAAACCACAAAATGCCAACTAGATGAACAAAAAGCAAGCAGAAAAAAACCCACAATGAGTCAGAAAATTAGCTCAGGAAGGAGAACAGAATAAAATTATCATCAGTTAGCTCTTCAAGTGGAAAACAGTACCAAGGGGCTGTCCAAAGCATGCTGAAGGAATAAATGGAAATGTCCTCACTTAATGCAGACCAAGCCCTGGGAAGTGGGGATATAGCTGGGTCAGCATCACAGACCATCCTCTTGCACTGAGATATAACTCAGCAGATTGGGTCACTCCCAGACCAGGGGAAGAAGAGGAAGGAAAAAGCCCGAACCTTGCCGAGGAGGCTGGGATGCAAAGGGCACACCCAGAATTAACACTTGGCAGATAATGAGCAGAAGCCCTCTGCCATGGGCAGCAAAGGAGAGTCTCCCTCAAGTCAGGGCAGGCGGCTCTACCCTCTCACCGACTGAGGAGCAAACATGCCTGCTTCCCTTGAGCTATCGCCTGCTGCGCTGTGGTAGGGAGAAAAATGCTTCTGATCTCCTCAAACTTTGGATGAAGCCCAAGCAGGAATACTCACGGGGTAAGGGCAGGTTTATCGCGCCAAGCACAATGCTGCAGTCAGCTCTCGGTTTAAAGATTCAAGGCTTTTCACAAAGCTGCCCTGTCCCACCAGTGCTCAGCAGTAATCTCTACCCAAATTCCAGTATAAACTGCTCCCTGAGCTTGATGTCCAAGCCCTCCCGGTGCACGCACCTTTCTCATGATGACCGCGTCACTCAGCTCATCCCGATGAGCTTCCTGTGCCGAGCAGGTAGGTCAGGGGCAATCTCATTGCCCAGACTTGTTGGTAATGCTGCGCTTTGGGTGTCTGCCTTGGTGCAGGACTAGAGCCTTTTGGGGTCACCGGCTGACGGTACGAGGCAGGCGTGCCGGAGCAGCTTACCGACCGCTGCTCCGAATTGCGCTGGAGAGGGCAGGTGACAGCGGGTAGGGGGAGCGAGCCAGGGAGGTCTGCAGGCGTCTGCGCCTGCTGCGCTGCAGCAAGCCCTTCCCTGGGGGGTACTGGAGGTCTCCCCAGCCAGCAAAGCAAAAGCACTCCTTGCCCTGCCCCCCCCAGTACGTTTCCCTTTGCCCCAGTAATAAGGGTTGAATTAATGCATTTGGCCCTAGTAATGAAGTTTTATTCTCCCATGAGCCAACACTGGCTAATAATGCCGTGTTCAGCAGTGCTAAATCACATGAGGACACTGCCCTCTGCAATGAGCTGTCAATGAAAAGGAGCTGTCACTTATCAGAGGTGAGAGGAAAAAAAAAAGTAATAAAAAAAGCCAAAAAACCAACAGGCTGAGTCCTGCCGAAACCATGTGTCTGATTTTACAACACAATAGTCTGTCACTTGAGGAGACTTTTCCATGACAGGCCTCATAAAAATCTCCTTGGCAGATAAGAACAGACGAGTTGCTTTATAAAATCAGATTGATGGATCACCTAATTTGTCTGCCGGAGACAAAAACAATTGCTTTATGGGACACCATAAGGGACAATTATAGGGAGTGGCCCCATTAATGGAATTTCTGCTTATTGCCTTGCAATTAATGCTGCTTCGGAGCAGGTTTATATCCTCTCCAAGTGTCATCTCTGTCTAACGTACCCACACGCTTTCATTGCACACATAATCATCTAATCCGTACTGTGTCCGGGCAGGCTGTCGAACCTCGGTGGTGTCTTGCCCCAAGGATTTCCCCTCTGCAAGGATCTTCAGCTGGTGTTTGTGGCTGAAAGTAGCAACAGTGATTTTCAAAACATCATTTTTGACAGTTTCATGCCATTCTACCAGCACCGCAGCTTATTCCTCAACCAGCTCTGCAGAAGCCGTTGCTATTTCAAATCTATTTCCAACCCACACTTGTAGCCAGCTTAAGTACCATAATCAGTGTGATTCCAAGGAGAATCAGACTTTGGGTGTTATTAGGAGATAGTTTATGATACATAATAAAAATGATGGCAGGCAAGTTTTAGAGCAAGAGATTTTGTTCCTTTTTTTGAGATGGAGATGATGTTTGCTTGCTGCTGCATCTTGTCTCAGGCAATTTGTAACAGGAATTAAGTGATCAATTAATCAATGGCCTAAGCCTTTTGCAGCTTCTTTCTCCTTCCACCGCTCATTTTGATCTTTTACTGGTGACACATGCCAAACAAGGCAGAATTCAGAATTATAAGGAGTTCCTGGATCACCCAAAACTTCCATGACGGATTTACCACAAAAGTTCAGTAGTTAGGAGCTGCAATAGACTGGGTGACCCTGGGCTATTTTGGAAGTTTCTGTTTCCTTCTGAACTGTGATACATTGCTCGGACCTTTCACATTAAGGTTAATAAACCAAGTCCCTCCCAAAGACCGGAAAGGAATCAAGTTTTAGTTCTTACCGTTAGGGTATTTCCTGGGTTCCCTTCACAGTACAGTGTCTTTCCTGGCTCTGTCTTTACAGGTCAGTTATTTAACAGACCATCTTCATTTTCTACCCTGTTCTTGCAGTAAATGCGCCAGTGGCTCTTGCTTACAAACAGTGAATAATGCCGACAGTTCCCTGCGTGGAGATGGCAACAGCTACAGCTCCAAATAAATACCGCAACGCAGTATCCCCTCTTTATCTTCACGTTTCTATTGCAGGCTATAGATTTTTTTTCCCTTTATTAAATTTGAAGGTTAATTTAAAGAAACCTAAATCTAAAGCTGACTTGAACATAAGGTTACACTGTGCTCTGTTTAAAAGAATTGTGTTAAATTGCATTACCTTGCCTTCTGTTTAGTGGAACAGAAGAATTCTGTTGTCCTTCACAGACAGCAGGGCGTAATGTAGAAATATATTCATCCTCTGGGCGAGCTGTAATGATTAACATAGCTAATAAAGACCATGAATATTTAGCAATATATTCAGACACCTCAGCTGTAATGAGAACAGGTTGAAAATGACCCTTAATCTTGTTTGACCCCCGGCATTCAGATTTCGCAGGCACCATCGCGTTCCTCCTTCCCGCAGTCACCGGGGTGAGCAAGCGTTAACGACTCACTGGTGCCCTTGTGAAATGCTTCTGGTGAGAAGCTGCAGGATTGCCTCTCTAAACTGTACATTGCAAATGTGAATTTTAGTGCCTTACGTTTCTGGTTAGCTCTGGGGCCAGAAATTCTAATTTAAAGGCAGATTTTTATTTCATTTATAGTGTGATTCACAGTGCGGATGGAGAAACGGAGGGACGGAAAAAAAAGAGCACTCTGAGGGTTAGCGACAAACCCGGCTGGGTGTGCAAGACCTTCCAGCAGCAATTCCTATGCTGGTTCCCTCAGCTCCGTCCACGGCCCCCGGCCGAGCGCCCTCTGCCCCTCTGGGTCCCGGTGGGCGCCCTGTGCCCAGCCGGACCCCCCCGCTGCCAGCCGTCAGTCTTCTGCTCTTGCCTCCATTTCACAGGGGGCCAGGCAGAAACCATGGGCTCTTGGGGTTCGGGCCGGGGAATTAGCAGCTAAGACGTTCATTTTAGTCCTCGGTGCGTCCCTGCAAAGCGATCCTTACATTTTAAAGCAGCGGGGTTGCTGAAGCCTGCGAGTGAGAGCAAAGGGAGGCTGGTGGCCTCAGGAAAAAGGACCGGCTATGGCTTGTGCTCTTCTTTTCCTCTGAACTCAAACATAAAATCCAGCTGGCTCACATGTTCTTGCCACAGGAAAGGTTATTTTATATATTTATACATATATATACACACATATAT